CGGTGTCCGTTGGCGTCCATACCGGGGATAGAGGCGAGGTCGAAGTGGCCCATGGAGAGGACGTGGCGGCGGGCGGCGTGGCCCCCCTTCATAGCTCGCCAGATGGCGCTTTCGACGACCGCATTCTGCTTCGGGGTGTCGGGCGCGGTGTACTCGCGCCGGATGCCAGCGGCGTCGCAGAACGCGACGAAGGCAGCACTCGTGAACTCCCCCGCGTTGTCCATGCGGAAACACCCCAGAGGGCCGTTGCCATTCAGGTCGGCGAGGAAACGCCGCGTGTACGTCAGGGTGTCACTCTTGGCCCTGCTCTCGATCGCCGCAAAGCGATACTCCTAAACCAAGCTCGACCGCGAATCTCGTAGACGACGTGTCATACGCTAGCGTGATCGATTATTCGGGTGGCTCAGTTATGTGCGATGGGAGTGTAGAGCAGCTCGGCCATTACGGGCCGTAGGGGTAGGTAACGTCGTGCAGACGTGTTGGAAAACGTGTTGTATACGTGTTGTTGTATAAATCGGGGGCGTGCTCGTGCTCGTCAAACCATCACGGTATCGAGTCACGCCTTTATGCTTTCTCCCACAACGAATCTCTCTGAATCCTCACCAAAATCCTCTCACAACCAAGGAAATTATGTAGAAAGTTCCTGTTCCTCCGCATCTCATCACTGCAATATTCGTACGTACGTACTTAACATCTCAACCATCATACTATGCTACGAGTATATCGAATAGAGCTGTCCTACTGTTCCTGCGAGTAGTTCGCCTCTGGCAATAAAACGCGAATTTCGCGAAGATTCTACCGCACCAACGCAGTCACGGCATTATTCACCCATGTGCGCGCTATAATCCGCCCGGATTCGACGGCGAAGCGTGGCCGTTGGGTCAACAACGACGACAAATCAGTATCCCCTCGCCTACCTCACCCCTCAGTCGTTTAGCAGGCCCAGGCGCTCAAGACGTTGCTTGAGAATCCGTCGACAGCCGCCTTTCAACCCCGCGAAGACCGGCCAGTACAGCCCGCAAGCGACGCGTTCCAACCGCCGGCTCAAGCAAGAGCTCCAGAGACGATCCGTCTGACGGAAGGAGCAGCGACCGCAGCAGCAGCACCGTCACGAAGAGCAGCAAAGACAGAAACGGCGTGAAGGCGCCCTTCGACATGGCCAAGCACGTCTTCCACCTGCTCTTTCTAGAGGTGGACTTGGACCGGTCCGGATGCATCGACAACAAGGAGTTCGGGGAGATGCTGCTACAGCTGGGGAAGAACATCGGGCCCGACGTCGCGCGCCGCTGTGTCGTCAGGTACATGCGGGAGAAGGGCGTCGCGCGCGCGTACCGCCTAGGGCTAGGGGCACACGCGTTCGACTTCCGAGGGCTGCTTGCTGCGCAAGTTGTCAAAAGCGTTGCCATTTCTCGTTGAGAGTTAGTCGCCAGTACAGTAGTGGTTCTGGTCTAACTACGGTTGAATATGTTGGTTGCCCTGTATATTTTTGCCGGTGAAATCGCGTGACACGGATGAAATGCTCTTGTTGTTTCAAGCGCTGAATCATGCCGGTTGCCCGCCAAAATTCCGCTTCAAAGGGGCTGGCACCTACCGTACCGTACCGGCATTTTACCGGGACCACTACAATACTGTGAGTGAAAACCCCGCCAGGTGTAGGGTCGTATGCATGCTCGCCCCATTTCGAGCGCCGCCGTCGTCGTGAGAGACAGGCATGAATAGAGGCGGATAGGAGCAGTACTTGGTCCCACCTCTCCGCTCCCCCGAAGGCCACGATCGCCTCGTAGATCAGGCTCTCCAATGAGGTGGTCTCTTTCCTCCAAGACACGTACTCTAACTTTTGGGTGTCGGAAGGGGCGGTCGTCCTTTGTGTTCGGTTTTCTGTCTTCGTGACATGAAGCCGGAGCCTCTGACCCCCAAGCTGCCGACCACTTTGGCCCAGCTGGCAACGCGACGAAGACGCCTCGCCGATAGCGTAACCACCTCAAGCACTTATGTTGCCGCTCGTCGCAGCAACGACATCGACCGAAGCGACACCATCGAAGCCGACGAGTTCGTCGATTTCATGACCCACGAGTTCCTTGCGCCGGCCCTGCCTTCTCCCGGAGTGCTCTGCGAGACCTCGGTCAACCGTGCGTGGACCATCCCCAGGTGAGAGAAACGCGCGCCCGCGTGGCCGGCGATCGGTCGGTGAAACGGTGGCGCCACCGTGTCCATTTGGCTCGGGGGTGAGCAAAGAACAATAAACCGTCTTAGGAGCTTCAACTCCGAAGACATTCATGTCCACCGGGGAAAAGCGGCACATCGCCCCCATTTTACAGCTTGATAGCAAGCCTCTATGTTAGAAATTGGGAACGTTCTTGGTTGCCAGATTGTTCCAAACTGCATGTTTGTCGTGTTGACGGCGGGTTGCGTCACAGGACAAGACAATCTCCGCGTTCGAGACTCGC